AAGCTTCAATTGTAATTTAATGAGAACATGGAAACGTCATCATTCTTGAACACTCTGTCTAGGAAGATGGTTTTTAAGTAAATTTCGGCTTCACCACTCGACCTGGGAGTGCTTAAGAAGTAGGGTGTTGATCATGCAGGCCAGTTACAGCGCCACTTGATCTCCACCTGAAATGAGGATGGCTTTCATATATTGTTAAACAATCAAAGCCTTGCAATATAAGTTGTTGAAGTACTGCAATAGTAATATTGATCTGCATCATATGAATGCTTTATATGAGTTTTAATTTCTTCAAGGGAATGGAATATTGTGCAAGTGGCAACTCTGAAGTCTCATTGTTGAGAGTTTTTTTTTTTTTTTTCGAATAAATATGAGCTCGAACATATTCCTTGTGTATGAGATTAATTTCTTATAAGAATATGATGTGAAATTTGTGATTATGTTGTTCAACTTGATGTTGCATGTGGACAACATTATTTTTATGGCTTACTAACAATGAGCATTTGTATATATATTATTTAAACTCTTGGTTGAGTCATATTGAAATACCTATAATTTCTAGTTAAAGGGTAATTGTGATCAATTGAGATAACCAAGTCTGTTGAAATATATTCAACTGTTGAGCATGTATCAGGCAGAGTGCGAAGCTTCTATAATGTTCCACAAAGCAAATCAGCAAAACTCAGTCTACAAAGGAGCTAAGGTTGGGCACCAAAGATCAGTCTGGGTAAGAGATCAAATACGTTTGACAAAAATATTTGTAAGTGTTGCATTGTGGGGGTAATAAACTCCTTATATTTTCATCAAAAGTTTCTCTGCAGTATTGAGAATAATGATGAAATTAAAGAGAGTGTTTCATGTTAAACATGAAAATCTCAATGGATTATTTACAAGTAAACGAAGTACTCGTCAAAGTGCATGTAAGTTTGGTCAAGAAATCAACTTACTTGAGGGCTAATTATGAGGATTAGTCGCTGACTCATTGGAAGGACTTAAAGTCCAAGTGGTAATGAATTCGTGGTGGATCCCACTTCTGTGGTCAAACGAAGCCATGAAAAGAGTTACAAAATAGTACACTAGTTGGTCATTCCGACAGTGTGTGTACTTGTGAGGTTGAGCTACAGCTCTTAATGAATTCATAACTCTTTAAGAAAGGGTGGTTTTGTTGAGACAAACCTAATGAATTCACCGCATAATGACATGAGTGCTAAGTGCTCTTGGTGACTTATACTCAATTGGGATGGTCTATGTTGAGGTAGACCTAAAGAGATCTCTAACTTGAGTAGAAAAGGGCTAACCGCCTCTTATGAAAGATAATGGGGTTATCCCAAGAAGCTAAGTGGCTAAGAAGCATGGTGATAACCGTGCAGTTGTGGGGGTGTCCAACACCTTCACCACATTGTGATTCACAAACTGTTATTTGCATTGCAAATAACAGCCTATGATAGAAAGAAAAGACTTACAACTGATTTATGTCCTTAACTACTCTATAAGCCTTTAATGGTAGTCTATACTAAGATAGACTTGATAGAGTTAACAGTCTATATTGAGATAGACTTGATAAGACATAAAAATCTGTAATGCGGTAAGACTTGTCAGAGTTAAAAGTCTATGTTGTGATAGACTTTGATAGGGTAGAAGTCCATATTTGAAACAGACATAACATTCTTTAATACTAAGGGTGTTCATAAGAAGTCAAAGAGTTTGACTTTTGTAAAACTTGCTTTTTGAGTTGGTGTGTGCATTCGAGTTCAAAATTTATCTAACCGGTGAGTTCAAGATTGATATGACTCTCGGGAAGAAAATTACTCAGTGTCACTATGTGTCAGTTCAAGTTCTCAAACACTGACATTAAGATCAGCTCATTTGTATTGCTCAGACATTATCCTTTTCCTTTCTAGCATTCTACTTTGAATGTGTGGGGGATTGTTGGAGATACATTCAAAGTGGCAGCTCAATATTAGGATAGTCAACATAGACATCCATGATTTGTGTACAATGTGTGGCTGCATGGGATTTTCTTATTACCACTCCCCTTTGATTTAGATAGTGTGTGCACAGATGAGATGAAAAGCTATTGTTTTAATTCCTCAGACATCTACAGTATATAAGGAGGCAAGCCATTTGTGTCCAAATGCACAAAACAGGAAATACTTTCCTTTTCTTTCTTCCTCTCTTGTTTGTCTACAAAATCTGAGCAATAGTGAGGTTCGACTACGTGATTGCTAGTGCAAGCTATCTGTAGTAGGTCTGTGTAGCTTGTCAAAAGCGTGTCAGGGTTCTAACTGCACCGTTATCGGGCAAATAACGCTTTTAAGGTAGTGTTATTATAATACGGCACAGATTTTCTTTCTACCATACAACCATAGTGTCCGTGCTTCTTAAAAGGCTTCTACATTGTGCGTTGAAGTTGTACTTTTCCCCAACAAATATTACCTTAAAAACAAAAGAAGCACTTAATAATTGTTTAATATTCTCCATTTCACTTTTATTGATTATACTTAACCAAATATGGGCAATCGTAATTCAAAAAACTAAATGAATTATGAAATTAATGGCAAAAGTCGATTGCCTAGCAAATATGTTTTTCCAGGATTACAAAATTGATTCAAAATCACTTTCCATAACCCAGTTGATAATATTATTATTATTAATGGCAAAATTGCAAATAACCAAAATAGCAATAAATAGCCATAATAATATTATCACATTAAATAGGAGACTAAATATGGAAAAACAATGGTTAAAACCGCTAACATTTATGAATGTTTTCGGATAAAATTTTGAAAAATTAATAAAATTTGAAGTCCGAAAAACATTAATGTCAAGAAAGATATTTTCTTAACTGGAATATTGTCACATAAATTTATTTGAAAACAGTTCAAGATGCATAACTGAATACCATAGCAAGATTAATGTCATCAGTAATTAATTATTAATAGCAATATGTAACAGTATAATCACTATTAACATTAATAATAATGACAAATCAAAGTATGGTAATGCACCTTTTAATGTTTCCATTTTTCTAAAAAATAAAATATGTGACTAGTCCAAATTAGCGGTTAACTGTAACTGTAGCACTAATTATCAATAATAATCATAAAAGATAATTAATGGCTAACCTTAATGATGCAAACCGCATCTGCCCATTGCGCTAACAACGATGACGATCCACAAGAGAAGAAAAGACTCCAGAATTCTCCCAATCTTCACTATCGATGTCAATAAACTCGATGCGGCGTCCAATGGTACATTAAAAAATTTATTGGTAGGACTTAATTACCAACATTAATAGTCATGTAAAATGAAGTAGGCAATCATACCAATGTACCAAATATAGTAGATTACCATGAAATAATAATTATTATGAAGAGGTAATAAACGGGATTAGCCCCTAAACTTAATAACAGAAATTAATAATGCCAAATTTAACTTAATAAATGGCAAAACTGTAATCAAGGGATGCCAAATACTAATCTCAATTTACCACATAATAATTAACCATGACTATTATGATACTTAGGGAGACTGAAGTTAAGGTAATAACCAAATTGCCATTAAACAAACAGTATACCAACTATATTGCTTTTGCCATAAATTAAAGACTTAATATTATCAAGACCCTGAAAAACTATTGATAGATTAAAAATTTAATCAACTTAAACAATAGTTATAGTTCTTAATGGCCAAAATAGCATTTAAATCCTTAATGTCTCTAAACAGGCCGAGACAATAATTATAGCACTTAATCATTCAAATTAGGCTCATAAACCTCAATGACCCAAGTGAATTATAACATGAATAAAAATGGTGTAAGTACTGAAATAGACCCAAAATTTAATATTATTACCAACGATGAATACCAAAATATGGTAGTTAGTAATAATTAAAACTTAATAAACATGTTATAAGGAGCTATAATTATTATTAAAATATCAATCAAAATGGTGGGATCTATACTTTAATGACCGAAGATAGGTCCTGAATAGCTTGTTCAAAATAGGTTCTAAAGTCCCTGAGACACATAAAACTAAATTGTGCTCAAAATTAAGGAGAAACCAAACAAGCTGGTTTAGTAGGTCATATTCCCTAAAATTGACCTACGGATCCAAAATTGAATGATATTTAAAAGATGAATTTATGAGTTAATAATATGTTAAATCCAACCTTAATGCATGCTATTATGAATGTATAACAATAACAATAATTTCTGAATATACGTAGCATGCTTGAATTTGCATATTAATATATTATTAACCCATATATCTTAAATAAATTGCAATACTTAAAGCAATTTAACATAAACCTCAACATTAAATTAAAATTCAAGCAGCAAATTAAAAACTTAATATTTGCCCACAATTGAATGATAATTTAATAATTAATTGAGGAAGAATTAAACTGAACAATTAAGCTAGAATAAGTCTAAATGTGATGATGGATCAACTAAATCTAGCCCAAAACCAAAATCAGGCCCAAGATGAATTTTTTTTTTTTTAAATGTACTGGACCGGGTCTGCCGAATGGGCCTGACCCGGCCCAACTAATTGCAATCCATCACCATCTTCTTCTCCACGTTAATCAGCCCTAGCAGCCATGGTCAACGAGCAGCGTCGATTGAAACGAGGAGCTGCAGCAGCTAGATGTCGCCTGCTTCTCCTCTGTTCGCGATGCTTCCGACCGACAACCTTAACAGCTGCACGAAGATGGAGTAGAGGCAGCCAATCGCCGGCGTCACCTGAAGAAGAGGAACAAGCGGCGATGTCACCGGAAAAAACCAGCTTCTCCTCCGCCGTCCCTCCTTTGCGCAACACCAACAACTGCCGCCTGCAAACCAAAGTCGCGCCGCCGTCACCTGAAGAACCAGCGTCGTCGTCTAGCATTGCCTGAAGGAGGAGAGGGAGACGCGATGCTCACCACCGCAGTCCGCTACCGTCCTCGCTCCCCGTCGCCGGTAGCGATTGCTGGAAAAAATAGTTAGTCCGGCGAAAAACACAATGAAGGCAGGTGGGATCCTCCACCGGATAACCAAAAATCCAGCAACAAGAAGCAAGGCTGTAGCCAGTGTGTTCATGCTTTATATTTCGAAATTATCTTCTTAATATTTCGAAAAACACTTTATAATATTTTTCAAAATTATTTCATTATTTCTGGAAAAAACTGACTATGTATATATATACATATATGAAACCGAATATATATGTACATACAGACTGTAAAACGAAAGCACAAATATATGTATGCCTTTAATAGAATATTATATTCAGGTTGCATACATATTCAAATTAACCAAAAGCATTCATAATTCTGGCATAATCAGTAATTATTTCACCCCAAAACATACACGATAAATTAAATAATTATATCTGTACTGAATAGATATATTTTTACGTGTATAGTTTAAAGAATTAAAACATATACGAAAGCTCAATGTATATGAAAAACCTAATGTTGATTCTAGGCAATACAATCAACCAGGCAGAGATTATAATGGCTCTGATACCAAATGTTAGATATACAATAGTCTAACTATATGAACCATAGTATACGAGAAACCTAACATCGTATGATAGCGGAAGCGTAGCCGTGTTGATCTCCAGCCATAGTTGATGTTCCTGTTGTGTTGCCTCTTAACGGTAGACCGTCAGCCATGTTTTGCCTCAGACCTGACTCAGAACCCTAGATGGTGTATTGGTATCTACTGAGCGGTCTGAGTACCGTAACTGAATGTGCTATCTAATCCATAATCCTGTATCCCATCAATCCTGGTTATATTAGGCACAGAGTTTGGTTGACTAACAACTACTAGTTATTAAGTCCAACCAGACCACTTAATAAGCCTAGTCAACTTGCACCACTTAATTAAGGCCCTAATATATAATATATAATATATATTATTAGGGAAAATCTTACACTGTCTCCTAAGTGGTTTAGTCACTCCTTAATTCCTTATATACCTGTAAGTAATTAGGGTTCAAGATTTTTGTAAATTGCTTATCAAATGCATATATCATTGTCCTTCAAGTCTAGTTACAGTGTTAACCAATGGTATTATTTAGTTTTCCAATTCATTCAGTGTTGATGTTAGTTCTTTCATTTTTATTGTTCATTTCTGTGACACATTGATATTTAAATTCAGTGGACCAAGAGAAGATGCTACCCGTATTGGGTCAGCTGGTGTTGTGAGGCGTCAAGCTGTTGATATTTCTCCACTCCGTCGTGTCAACCAGGCTATCTACCTATTGACATCAGGTGCCCGCCAAAGTGCTTTTAGGAACATAAAGACAATAGCAGAATGCCTTGCTGATGAACTCATTAATGCTGCCAAGGGATCCTCAAACAGGTAAATTCACCTTTAGATTGTTTCAACCATTATATTTCAAATACAAGTGGATGTTTTTCCTGCACAATATGACAATCTTTTCTCGGGGCATTTACTTGCAGTTATGCAATCAAGAAGAAGGATGAGATTGACCGTGTAGCCAAGGCTGACCGTTAGAGAGTTTAAGAAAGTTTAACAACTCTCATCCTTGCAAAGGTATGAGTATTTTCTGACCTCCTTTATGCACTACCTATGGTGTCACTTTGGTCTTCTATAGCAGAATTTTAAATATTTTTATATTTATTTAATTTTTGAAAGCTTCTTAGGATTCTATAAGCCTGATGTTGCAGTTAATACATCATGCAGGCCACTAAACTGAATAATGTAAAGTCTTGTAAGGGCACTCCCTTCTGGATGGCGCCTGAGGTTGGTCCTGATTCTTTCATCACATTTTCATAGTGTAGAAAGTTTATATTACATAAATTATCACATGGCATTGCAGAGTAAGTGTCACTATGTTACTTATCTCTGTTTTCTTGATACTAGAAGTATGAGTAATTTACAACACCTTAGCTATTTTTATGGGGCAAATAATTATTGCAAATGTCTGATGGCATTAATTGATTAGGGAAGATGTTTCTTACCTTAGGATTAAGATTTTATACGGATCTTCTGTGCTGTATTTGAAATACAGGCCATGCCTATTGATGGAGTGATATCTACCTTAGCTGGGGCAGCGCTTGTGCAGGTGCTTATATATTTGAGTTTGTTGTCAAATGTGGCCACCCGCAGGATATATATGGTATTATGGGAGATGAATGGAGTCAGTTTGTGATTACTCGCATGTTTGAAGACTTCAAGGTAACCTCAAAACTAGAAGTCTATCTGTATGTGTATGTGTATATCAATGTAGTGAATCCTGCTTAGAAACAGAAATTGTTTTTAGGGTCCTCTTTTCCTTATAAGAAACAATCTTGAAAGCCTCTCTCTCTTATACTCCAATTCTGAAATAGGTTGATCACAAAATTAAAAAGAAATCAGAAAAGATGAAGTGTTTCCCCTGGTCATTTCATGATTATAGATGACTGTATATGGTTTTTTTTTTTTTTTAATTTTTTTTTTATGCTTTTTGTTTTTTTTTCCCCTTTAAATTTAAATCTACCTACCTTTAACCACCTCATTCTTACTGTCCCATTTACTATATCTTTTGAATGGATATAAGCTCTTTAATTTCCAATGCAAGACAAGTAGATCTCACATTATATTAACTAGTATGATACCCATGCGATGCATGGGATGAATATTGTTCATCTTATTGTGTAATTGTGTGAAAAATTTAAGAGATGATGTAATATATAAAAAGTTGGAACGGAAATATAAAATGGAAAATAGAAACAATAAAGAAATTACTTTAACATACAATATAGAAAAATAAGAGTGACAAAATTACAAATTATTGAAAATTTTGTGGTATATACCATGTTGGTTGTTGATGTATAGATCTATTATAATTTTCTGAGTACTTTTTAGTTGAATGTACGTAGACGTAGCAGCCTGGTTATCCCGGAACATATTGTTTATGGTTATGCATGTTGGTGTTGATGTAATTTTTCTAAATCTTATTACAGTTTCCTAGGCGACTATTGGGTTAATACAAAAGAGAAAACATAGGCGAACCACCATTTTCACCAAAAGATTAGTGGTTTTTAGTGCTAACAGTTTAATAAAAAGACATAGATCATTGACTACATGATAACTACAAAATATGTTCTACTATATTTATGTTTTTGAAATGAGAATGAAATACCTTTGTTTTGATGATAATGTTTGCTCTTTGACCGAATGGTGCATGAAGATGTAATCTTCCTCATGGTATGTAATCGCAATGCTTACCCTTTATGTTTTGTGATGGAATGTTCTTAGTGTCTTCTGCCACCCTTTTGTTTGTAACTTCAATCTTAAGTTAAGGCTCATTGAGAAAGGAGTCATTAATGGCTAACCATAATTATTCCCATAAACATAAACATTTTATGAGAAAATAAATATGCCTACTGGAGTAATTGATTTTGATTGGCTTAAAAATAAAGGTTGCACTAAAAATAGATAGAAACCAAATAAATCCTCACGAATATTGTGTGTTTTTTAGCCTAGTAATTATCAATGGTAAATGATTAATGGAAATAAAATATGGAAAGTATTAATATTCTATATACTAAAATTATGTTGAATATATATATATATATATATATATATATATATATATATATATATATATATATATATATATGCAAGCTACTGTAATTTTTGTTCGATAAATGAATTAAGTTTAACGAACTAAATTTGAAAATATTGCAAGCTACTGTACCTAATAATTATTATATATTTTGTTTAATTTTGCAATGAAATTAGTGATATATATAGACTAAAAGATAATCTATATATATCTATACTAAAAGTTACGAATATACCTTAGAAACACGAAACACACACTCCAAAGTATGAGAATTGTAGGTGTTATTGTTGAATGTTGACTCGTACATTCGGATTAGGCGAACTTGTATCGCACAATTCGTGGAGGTAGCAATGATTTGGTTAAGTAGATTGAAGGTGGGAGCCATATTGAAAAGTTGAAAAATTTAGCATATGAAAATTGTAAAGTATAGGAAGAGGATTGCAAATGAATGAGAAGCATGACCAATGAGGTATTTATAACTCTGAATTTGTGCAAATGAATTATAAATGAATAATTTGCGTTCCAAATTATGTAATCAAGAGTGTAAATTAAGGATGGTTTAATTTAATTATGAAATACTAAATACTAATATTAATAGCTATTGCATGATTTTCGTGCATAGTAACAAATGAATAATAATTCCTGCATACTAAATACCATGAATTACACGTGCATACTAATTATAATAATAATAATTCGTTAAGGCTAATAGGATGCATGATTCCGGCGTTTCTGTATGTGAATAATTCGTTTTGTAAGGCTAATTCGTTATAGTATTATTATTATTATTATTATTATTATTATTATTATTATTATTATAAAAATAAATAAATATCATGCCCTTTAATATCTTGCCCTTTAATAGACTATTTTTATATATGGTAATTAATTTCATAATTACAAATACAAATTACTAAATGTAGGGAGATTTTTACGACATTTCAATCTGCCAAATAATTTTAAAATAATTTATTATATCATTTCAAACTTTTTAATAAGTTATTTTTAAATTAATATATATAATTAAATTATTCTACCCAATTATATATATCATTCATAAATCTTATCCATATAACTATATATGATGTACGATATATATATATATATATATATATGTATATTTTTTGGGATAATATATATATATATATATATATATATATATATATATATATATATATATATATAATGTTATCCTATTATACCTATATGTAATTCTGGAATTGACAGTTACATACGTTCATATAGAAATAATTATTATATAAATAAATATTCTGCCTTTTAATAGACTATTTCTATATATAGTAATTAATTTCATATTTACAAATAAAAATACAATATGAAAAAGTAATGTAAATCTTTAATGTAAAAAAATACACAGAATTGAATCATTGCATGCCATTTGCCCAATTGAAACAAATTTCTCGAGATATGTTGTTGTAGCAAAGACGCACTCCAGTCCGACTTCATTGCAATGTTGCCTAGGATCCACCCCACGAAGTCGCCACATTCCCATTGCACGCGTTTATAGATAGGAATCAGCCGCTTCCAGACCTCCCTAGTCTTCCAGCATTTCCTTATTACAATATGATCAGCATCTTCATGAACCTCGGGGCAGAAGACACATGTGCCATCAACAGGGAGAACTCTCTCTTCACATTGCACAAGATGCGTTGATGGTAGGAGGGCGGTGTATTCTGCCCTTCAATGGGCTTGGGATATAATAATAATAATAATAATAATAATAATAATAATAATAATAATAATAATAATAATAATTTTTATATAGATATATACAATGTACGTAAATAAACAACTATATATATATATATATATATATATATATATATATATATATATATATATATATATATATTTGTTTTATTCATATATATATAGTTGTTTATTTACGTGTGTATATATATATGAATAAAACAAATATATATATATATATATATATATACATATATATATATATATATATATATATATATATATATATATATATTTTAAACAAATATATACAGTTTATATATAATTGTACACTTATTTCATGAATCTAAATGAAATCAATAATAACTTTTTTTTAAGCAAAACATATTAACCGTATAATTCATAAATACTTTTTTTTTTTAAAATATAAAAATATTTTTAAGTAATCAATTGAGTCATTTCATATGCCAAAACATTCAATCAAATAATTATCAACCAACATATCCATCACTTTGGAAAATACTTTGGGTAAAGTAAAAAGAAAACAACCACTTCCCAAATTTCTCTAAGTCTCAATTGTTCAAATCCTCCTCTTCTATCAACCATCATCATCATCAACAATAAAACAACACAAGATACACATAAGCACCCGTAAAATGTTACGGTCCCTACTTGTATTCTACCCATACTAAATAAAATAAAATAAAGGAATAACACTTACAAAGCACTTGTTGAAAGGAGAGTTCCGACCTTGAAGAAGAAGAAGAAAATATATAATTTTATATTGTATAAAAGTTCATGGCAATGGAGGAAAGAGGAGGAAGACAAATTTTTTTAATTCTCATCTACATAATTATATAGGTAGTAAACTAATCTTTATGAAATAATTTAATAGTCATTAATAGGGCATAGGAAAAGATTGATAACTTCCAATCATAATAAATTTTGATTCCAAAATAATAAAGGAATATATATTACATATATATTATTCTTCCCACGTTACACACATTTATTTATATTATATATATACACATGCTAATTATAGAGATTATTATTATTATTATTATTATTATTATTATTATTATTATTATTATTATTATGAGTTTGGTTTTACAAAAATGCCACTAAATTTTTGATGGGGAAATTTTTGTGCCAATCATTTTGCTTTAATATATATAAAGATTCTTGTGAGGTGGTTTAATTAGGATGGATAATCTTTTTCTTTTTCATTCTGGTAAAAT